TCTGAGGGATACAGTCCATCACGGTGGGGAAGGCTTGGTGGCAGGAATGTGAGGCAACTGGTCCAGAGGCAGACTGGAAGTGGGGCTGGCTATAAAACCTCAAGGCCTGCCCCTCCCCCAGTGATACATCCTCCAGCCAGGCTCCACTTTTTCTTTTCTTTTTTTGATTTTTGGAGACAGGGCTTCTCTGTGTAGCTTTGGAGTCTGTCCTGGAACTCACTCTGTAGCCCAGGCTGGCCTCGAACTCACAGAGATCCGCCTGCCTCTGCCTCCTGAGTGCTGGGATTAAAGGTGTGTGCCACCACTGCCCGGCCAGGCTCTACTTCTTAAAGGTTCGACAACCTTCCAATGTGATGCCACCAACTTGGGACTAAATATTCAAACATGGGAGCCTGTGGGGACATCCACATCCAAACCACAACCATCTCCTCATTGTGACCTTTCCCGACATGTCTTAGGCATGGAATCATGGTGTTTCACATATTGCCAAGGGATGTGTGGACAGACCCTCCAGGAAGGCAAAACTGAGGGTGACAATAAACACATGGAGTTACACACCACTTCCCAAGTAATCATGGAAACGCAAAACGAAGCCCCGTGAACACGCTCTGCACCCCAGGTCCACCAGGGTGACAGTGTGTCTCATTCTTGTAGCCAGGTTCAAACTGACCATCCCACTTTATTTCTGGGTGTGCCACATAATGCTGTGTCCCCTTTATTTCCTGTTTTCATGTTTGGGGTTGCACGCATGGGATTTCCGTTCCTCCGCTTTCCCTCTCTTTTCTCTCGGGTTTGGTTCCCAGCCGCTGCCCCCAGTTAGCACAGGTCAGTGGTTAAACAACAGCTGTAGATTTGGGACTCTGGAACACAGATGTCAGCACAGCCATGTGACATACTGCTCCTCAGACAACGCAGTGTTGAGACCCTTTAATGCCAGAACATTCTCATCCCGCTTTTGCATATTCTACCTCCATAAAGGTTAGTGAGGTGTCCGATACGGTCGGCAGTTGCTCAGTTTACCCGCACACCCTTCCTCTGAAATACTTCAAAACTTCCCCAGAGTCTGTGCCTGAGGAGGTTGGTGTCTGGCCCTCGTCTCCAAGGACATTCTCGGTGGGCGTAGAGCTCTAGGTTGGTACCTGTTTTCTTTCCAATGAGAAAGGATGCTTCCATGGCCTCCGGTCTCCACCGTCCCATCGAGAAGTCATCTGTCAGTCATGCTGCTTCTCCCCACCCTTACTGATGACTGTCATTGTAGTTCACCCCCAATGTGGGCATGGGTGGATTCCTGTGTAGTGCTGCACTCAACTCTTTAAAATGCACCTAGAATACACCCTGTTTGTGCTCATGGATCAACGTCTTTCATCAGCTCAAAGTCCCTGCCTGTTTGTGTTCAAATACCTCACCCCCATCCCTTTGTCTCTCCTAGGATCCAAACCACTCCCCACGCTTCCCCTTTGCCTGTTCCTCCATCTCCTCTACTTCAGCCCCCGCCCCCCCCCCCCGGACACCCCGTATTCAGTCACCATACCCATCGCCTCCTTCCCTTCACTAATCTCTTCGGCCTCGGCTGATGTGCTGTTAACCTCATCTACCACAGACTGAAATCTCAGCTTCTGTGTCCTTCGTTCCTAGGATTGGGTTCTCATTTGTGGACTGCCAGTTGCCACGGTAAAAATCTCCATCTTTCTCCCCATTTTCCTGAAAGGTGTGTCGCTGACCCTTTAAGGTAAACGCTTCATTTGATCTGAAGAGAAACGAGGGCATTGCCGTGGTTACCCTTTTGTTGTTTGAAGGGCATCTCTGCAGTCACCCTCTTTGCTTTTGTAGTGCTGGGGAACCAAACCCAGGGCTTTGTGCATCCTAGGCACTCGGTCTGCCGCTAAGCTATATCCCCAGCCCTCATCAGTTGTCTCGAGTACATGTGTGACTGTTCTAGGGTCCAGGACTCTTGTTTGTTCTTCGTGACTCTTGATCAGCTGGTCTTGTCATCTAGAATGCCTGGTAATGCTTGGCCAATGGCAAGAATTCACTGTGGAAAAAAAAAATCTAAGATCCCAGCTGGGTTGTGGTGGTGGTGGTGCACACCTTTAGTCCCAGCACTTGGGAGGCAGAGCCAAGTGGATCTCTGTGAGTTCGAGGCGAGCCTGGTCTACAGAGCCAGGCGGATCTCTGTGAGTTCGAGGCTAGCCTGGTCTACAGAGTGAGATCCAGGACAGGCACCAAAACTACACAGAGAAACCCTGTCTCAAAAAAATCTAAGATTCCTTGAGTCCCTGGTGCTGCTGTCTGGTTCAGAAGGGATGGCTGTGTCTCTGGCGAACAGTTAGTCTGTGGACAGCTTACCCTGTTCAGTTGAGCCAATTTGCAGGCACGGCCACCTAGTTTCTGCTTTGCTTTTCCCGGGGGAGGCTCCTGCACTCACAGTCCGTGTTTGCTTCTGAAAGCCCATTGCTTCCCAGAACCCTCCACCTCAACAGGCCCCGGACTCCGTGCTTTGTTCACTGGTTCTAAGGCCACTGAAGGCTTTGGTCAACTTCCTGGCCCCTTCCTGGTGAGCTGTAACTCAGTCAGTGCCTTGAGAGGAAAATCCACAATAATGCAGGCCCCATCCAGGGCTCTTCCGGTGACGGGGATTTGGTCCCTTGAGTCTCAGCTACCTCTGGACCTCCTGGTGCCTTCAAACAGAGATTGTCTACTTATCAAGTCAGCTTCTCCACCTTCCCCTGCTCCACCGGCTGATAAGGGTCCACTCCCCAGGTCAAGCGTGGTCGCAGAGGGTCTCCTACAGATTCAGAACCAGTTGTCACAACGTCTCTGAACCCATCCATCTTACAGCAATTTCTCTGAAAAGAAAATGTGCCCATGCCTCCAGAGACATTCTACCCAGAGGTGACTGTGCCAGGTCTGTGGAGACTCAACAGTGAATGAGCCTGTGGGGATGCAGTGTGCTATGGAAGGGAGAGAGGAGCTGACTAGACAGGACAGGAAGCTGGGCAGGGGTGGGGTTTGTCTGTTACCAAACCACCTCAGAAAGCTCTGGCCCAGCCGGGCGTTGGTGGTGCACGCCTTTAATCCCAGCACTCGGGAGGCAGAGGCAGGCAGATCTCTGTGAGTTCGAGGCCAGCCTGGGCTACCAAGTGAGTTCCAGGAAAGGCGCAAAACTATACAGAGAAACCCTGTCTCGAAAAACAAAAAAAAAAAAAAAAAAAAAAGAAAAGAAAAGAAAAGAAAAGGAAACTCTGGCCCTCAAACATGGAGTAAGATCCACAGCCCCGAACGGAGCAGCACGCAATCTTCCATCCTCCCTATACCCATCGTGCACCTGCCACTCTCATCCCCAGCCCTGCCACAGACAAACTTAGGGACAGGGTGTGGAGGCCAAGGCCTCCAGCCTGTGCTTGTCCCCCACTCTCTGAGGCAGGGGCTTCTCCAGGGATGGGGCCACATGGAGCTGTGTGAGGCTGACGGGACACTCTGAAACCACAGGTTACTTCTCTCAACCTGGGTTGTGTGGAGTGGCAGCTGGCCACACACGTCAGTATCTCACCTTAGAAGCCCCGTGAAGGAAGGACTAGCCCCAGACACTAGCATCATTTTGAGACTAAACACGCTTTGGAAGGTCTAAATGGTTCTACTTAAGAGCTGGGATACGTGTCTAATAAGGAAGTAGGCAGTAAAGACTTTTATAAAAAAAAATATGTGAAAAACGCATCAACAGCACAGATTATGGAGGGGAGAGACTCATCCACAGGGAGGAAGAGGAAGGCTGGCCAGGAGAAGCAGGGCAGAGAAACAGAGGCTGGGGAGGGGCAGGCAAGACACATGGAAACCATCTCACCCAGTGCCCCTCATGGCTCAGAACTAGGAAACCCAACCAGGAGTTGCCAACCTGCCTAAGCGGGAAGATGAGCCGATCTTCCTAAAACCCGAGGCACAGGGCAGGGTGGACACAGACACAGGGCAGGGTAGACACAGGCAAAGGGCAGGGTGGATACAGGGCACAGGGCAGGGTGGACACAGAGCAGGGTGGACACAGAGCAGAGTGGACACAGGCAAAGGGCAGGGTGGACACAGGGCAGGGTGGACACAGAGCAGAGTGGACACAGGCAAAGGGCAGGGTGGATACAGGGCACAGGGCAGGGTGGACACAGAGCAGGGTGGACACAGGGCAGGGTGGACACAGGCACAGGGCAGGGTAGACACAGGCACAGGGCAGGGTAGACACAGGCACAGGGCAGGGTAGACACAGGCAAAGGGCAGGGTGGACACAGGGCAGGGTGGACACAGGCACAGAGCAGGGTAGACACAGGCAAAGGGCAGGGTGGACACAGGGCAGGGTGGACACAGGCACAGGGCAGGGTGGACACAGGCAAAGGGCAGGGTGGACACAGGGCAGGGTGGACACAGGGCATGGTTGACACAGGCACAGGGTAACACAGAGAGGTGCAGGAGCTGAGGAGACTCTCTAGGGGTGGGAGTTACAGGCCAGTCACTGCACCCTCAACCCAATGGCTCTACACATGTCACTGCACACCTCTGGTCTCGGCACGGTCATGAGTGACAACCGTCCTCACCAGAGCTGGACTATGGGAGGAGTACTGGCCTGAGGACATTGGTCTCCTGCCACTACTTCTTGAGAGGGGACGAGGGTCCTGGCATCTGGCCATGGCCGGATGACATCCCTGCTGCCATAGGATGGCTAGGAGAGTCCCACCAGTGACACCCCAACCTCACTGCTCACAGAGCCTCACCTAACTGTCCCACCACTGTCCCCAGCACCACCCACTGGCAGGAGACAGACAGGCCTGACAACAACATCCCAGACAAACAAACACCCTGATGATGACCACGAGCCACATCAACAAGGAAGGGAGGCCAAGCCAGACAGCAGCAGCACAGGGGGATAAAAGCTGACGGCCCAGCACCTCACACACACTCACACTCAACACTCACTCACTCACTCACTCACTCCTCACTCTACTCCAGCCAACCCCACCATGTCTGTCTGCTCTGACGCCTGCACCAACTCCTCCTGGCAGGTGGACGACTGCCCAGAGAGCTGCTGTGAGCCTACCTGCTGTGCCCCCACCTGCTGCCAGTCCAGCTGCTGTGCCCCCAGCTGCTGTGTGCCCAGCTGCTGCCAACCTAGCTGCTGTGTGCCCAGCTGCTGTGCCCCAGCCCCCTGCCTGACCCTCCTCTGCACCCCAGTGAGCTGTGGGTCCAGCCCCTGCTGCCAATCTGTCTGCTGCTCACCCTCATGCTGCCAACAGTCTAGCTGCCAGCCAGCTTGCTGTACCTGCTCCCCTTGCCAGCCGTCCTGCTGTGTGACTCTTTGCTGCAAGCCCGTCTGCTGTGGGGCTTCCTCCTCATGCTGCCAGCCATCCTGCTGTCAGTCTTCCTGCTGTGTGCCTGTCTGCTGCACACCCATCTGTTCTGGATCCTCCTCATGCTGCCAGCAGTCTAGCTGCCAGCCCTCATGCTGTCAATCTTCCTGCTGTGTGCCTGTCTGCTGCAAGCCTGTCTGCTGCAAGCCCTGCTCCAGTGTGTCCCTGCTCTGCCGGCCTGTGTGCAGACCTGCCTGCTGTGTGCCCACCTCCTCCTGCTGTGCCTCCTCCTGCCAGCCCAGCTGCTGCAAGCCCTGCTCCAGCGTATCCCTGCTCTGCCGCTCTGCCTGCTCCCGCCAGGCCTGCTGTGGCCTCTCCTCAGGCCAGAAGTCCAGCTGCTGATGGATCTGTCTGCTCCCTGCCCATGTCCTGCTCCCCCAACCCCTCTCAGCCTCTTTAGTCTGCTCCTGATGTGGGATCCGCCCCCCCCCCAAAGGACAGAACCCCAACATGTTCCCTACACTGACCTGACCTGACTTCCTGTCTCCCAGGAGCTCCCCCTGCACCCTGGGTCAGTGTCCCTCTTCACTGTCCCTCTGCCCTGGTCACTTGTCTTCAACATTAGTCCTTCAGAGTTCAGAACATCAATAAACTCTTCTCACTGCCTGGATCTCCTCTCATGCTGTGGGAAATGTGACTTAAGTCAATGTCAGTCTCTGCAGACTGTGGTTGTTTCCAGGAGGGAGGGACTTAGCCTTGCAATAGTGAGACATTGTGCAGAGCATGACATTGAGTGGGGCTGGAGCTCAGTGTCATGCTCTGCACAAAACAGAAGCGTGAGATGCTGCCATGATGGCCCCCCACATCTGGGAAGAGTCCCCAGCATCCACAGAGGGTCCCCACGGTCCAGTGGGTGATGGTCTCAACATATGCATAGCTGGCCAAGAGATGCTGCCGCTGGGCAAGGGATCCCCAGAAAACAGACAGTGGAACTCACGTCTGGAGCATCTCCTGGGCGGGAAGCCTGTCTTCAGCACCTGGAGTAGTTCCCGGAGGGGAAATCCTCTGAAGGGAGTCAGAGAAATTACTTGACCTAATTTACCATCATAGCACCTAAGTGAGTCCCAAGTGACCAACCAGCCTGCTGTCATCCAGCCCATCCAGACAGAGCTTGGGGGATCACAGAAACACAGCATCCAGCTGAAGAGCCATTCAGTTTAGTAGGCACCCCAGGTGGGAAAATGTGGTCAGTAGAAGATCAACCAATTGGTAGGGACCCATGGTCCTCACCTGTCCCACACAGCCAAGATGTTAAAGAAAGACGGAGCAATTGAGCAAAGACAGGAAGACATTTAGAGATAGAAAACCAGAGTAGGATAGCTGGAAGGAGCGACGTGTGGAAGAGGGATGCTGATGAGGTGGGGGTGGAGCTCACAGCCACTAGGGGCTGTGATAAAATCAATAAACCATGGGCCTGGCTCAGGTACTGTCTTCAATGAACTGCACAGGAGGAAAGGAGTGAGCTGGAGCAGCAGGTAGAAGCCCTGCCCTGCATAGCCCAGCCTGGGGACCTGGCTTTGTCACCATCTCCACTCATGGTGTCAGAGATGCTCAGGACTTTGTCAAATAGGTCACACACACACATCACTGCAGCGTCTTACAGAATACTTTGCTGTCCTGAGTGCCCTCAAGGTTCTGATACTCTATGGAGTCTCCCTGTCCCACCAACCTCCAGCAATCCCTTTACAGCCTTCTCCCCTCTCTTAGAACCATGCTCAGAAGGACTCTATGCCCTTCCAGGTCCCACTACACCCCCCCATATCCTCCATGCCCCTCTAAGGCCCTCCAGGTCCATGCCCCTCCACAGTCCTTTTCCTCTGAACATCATTCCCTGCTCTGGATGCAGAAGCTCTCTCTCGGCAGGGTTAGCCCTTCCCTACAGGGTCTCTCCCTCCCAGCTGAGCCTCAGGGTTGCTCTATGGCACTTTCGGCATTGTGACTAAAGTGTTAGCGTGCACATCCATTCAGAGATCTCTGTGAAGATCTGGCTTTTCAGCTCCTTTTGAGAAATACCAAGGAGTGTGAGTGCTGGATGGTTGGAGGTGTGTTTGATATTTTTAAGAGCCCACCAGGTTCTTCCACAGCTCTGAGCCATCCCGTGTTCCCAGAAGCAGTGCGGGGAGCACCCGTCACTCCTTCCTCCCCAACATCTCTCGTTGGTATTTTGATGTGGGGCATTCTTACACGTATATAGACTCACTCTCTCATTCCTAGTCTCTCTCTCTCTCTCTCTCTCTCTCTCTCTCTCTCTCTCTCTCTCTCTGTTTTTCTACATAGCACAAATTGTCCTCACACTCACAATCCTCCTCCTCCTCTTGCCTTAGCTGAGATCACAGACGACGTGCCCCACCCTGCCTGTGACTTCATTTTTCCGAGTTCACACCGCGGAATCTGGATGCCTTCTTTGGCAAAGGGTCTATCCAGCTCTCTTGCCAAGTTTTGAGTCAGGTTGATTCATTGTTGATTTTAAGGCTCCTTTGCAGCGTGCCCAGCAGCCTCTGTCAGACATGGGGAGCAGACACCCCCATCTCCCCACTCCCCCATCCCCCCACCCTCCCATCCCCCACCCCCCATCCCGTCAAGCCCTGATGCCCCTTCTGTTAGTTGCTTTTCTGATGGTGAAAAATACCTGAACAACACAACTCAAGGAAAGAAGGGGTTTGTCTTAGCCCAGGGTTTGAAGACACAGTCCGTCATGGCAGGGAAGTCACGGTGGCAGGGGTGTGAAGGGACACCCTGAGTCCTCAGTCAGGACACAGAGAGCAAGACATACACGTGCTCAGGTCACTTCCTCTTCGTCATTCATCCCAAGACTCCAACCCCTGGTTTGGTGCCCCCCCACATCCATGGAGTATCAGTCAATCCTCTCTGGAAATATCCTCATAGACATGCCCAGAAGTGTCCCCAGTGATTCCAGTTCCTGTCAGGTTGACACTGGGCATCAGCCATCACAGTGCAGACTCAGCAGAAGCCCTGCCATGGGAAAAACTCACAGCCGTGGACACGTGTGCCGAGGAAGCCTCGGGTCAGTTACCTGAGCAGAGCAAACGCACGAGGAGAAAAAACAAAGACCCGGTGGAGACAGACCAAGAAGGATCCACACCGACGACCCTCAGGACCTCTCCTGAAAACTGGAAAGGGGGTGGTACATCTGAGGCCACTCTGAGGCAAATGTTACCCTCCGGCCATCCTCAAAGACAAGCGTGCAGACAAGTGCCTTAGGTCTGTCCAGCTTTCCTGCCCATTTTAAAGTCAAGTTCGTTGTTTTTAAGGGTCCTTTGCATATTGCACATGGAAGTCTCTGTCAGATAGGCCCTCAGCAAACCCCAGCCATAGAATCCAGCATCACAGAAAGAGCCATGTGCCATGGCCGCTGTAGCTCTTCAGTGTGCCCAGAACCCAGGTACCGAAGGCTTGGTCCCCAGCCGCTGGTGTTGTCGGGAGGTGGTGATGTCTGTAAGAGGTGGGGCCTCATGGGAGGAAGTGAGGTCATTGGACATGCTGGTTGGTTTTTTGTTACCTTGACACAGCTAGGGTTATTGGAGAAGAGGAAACTCAGTTGAGACAAAACTTCCACCGGATTGCCTATAGACAAGTCTATGGAACGTTTTCTTGATTAATAATTGATGTGAGAGGGCCTGGCCCACTATACATGGTGCCACCCCTGGGCAGGCGATCCTAGAGTATTTAAGAAAGCAGGCTGAGCACGCTAAGGGAAACAAGCCAGTGAGGGGTGTCTCCCACGACCTCGGCTTCAGTTCCTGCCTGACTTCCTTTGATGGTGACTGTGATGTGGAATGGTAAGATGAACGATAAACCCTTCCGCCCCAAGTTGCTTTTGGTCATGGCCTTTATTCATAGTAACGGAAATCACACTAAGACATGGGAGTGTGCCTTTGAAGGGGACATTGGGACCTTACGGCCTTCTTCTTCCTCTCCTAGCCACCACAAGTAAGCAGCTTCCTGTTGCATTCCCCACTCCCATGGCATGCCACCCGACACGGGCCTGAAGGCATCAAACAGCCATGTGGTGTGGGATGATTGGAATGAGAAATGTCCCCCAAAGGCTCCAGTATTTGAACATCAGTTGGTGGCACTCTTTGGGGAAAATAGGACATGCGACTCTGTGGGAGGAAGAATGTCAGTGGAGGCAGGCTTGAGAGCTTAGAGACTCCCTCTGTTTCACAGTCTCTTTCTGCTTCATGCTTGTGGCTCAGGATGTGAGCTCCTAGCTTGCTGCCCCCGCTGCCCCAGCTGCCTCTACAACCTGTCACTTCCCCAGCACAGTGGGCTCTTATCTCTCGGGAAGCATAAGCCTGTTTCTTCTTTAAATTGCCATGGTCATGCGGTATTTTCACACAAACAGGAAAGTCACTAAGGCACAGTGACACTTCCAGAACTAGGAGCCAAGTAACCTTTCCTCATTTATAGGCAGATTGCCTCTGGTATTCTGTCACAGTAACACAAAGCTGCTTAACACTGGGGCTAAGTGAGCTTTATCTCTGGAATAAAACATTGGTTTAATATCTGAAAAATCAGCTAATGCAATATATTGCGTTGATATAATAAAAGCAAACATCATACAATTATATCAATATGTGCAGAAAAGGAGCTGGGACAGCCCAATACTCTTTCACAATAAAAGCCCACCGCCCCCACAAACCCAGGCAAGGGGACTTCCTTACTCTGTTAGGAACCCACAACTGACATCACCATGAGCCATGACTTCTCCTTAACCTCCAGCAAGGGACAGACATCTACTCAGCCGACCAATCCCAGTCACCACTGGGGGACAGATGTCCTCATATCCAAGCTAAGCCCCTGAGTTGCAAAAACGCATGCTTTGGAAACTATGAAACTCACGTGAAAGCCTTCTAAATACATCGGAAAGTGGTGCCCCCTGCTCACCTGGAGACTTTCCCAGTTCCTAGCAGAATCTGGGTAAACATCTTTGCAGAAATTTGCAAGTTGGTTTTTAAATTAATAAGTAATTTCGAGAGACTCATAATCACCACAAGAAAAAAAAAAAAAACAAATACGGACAATTCACACTTCCCAGTAAAATTTTCCCATAAAGCAACAATGAGCCCTTCCATTGGTCCTGATCTATAAATAACAAAGAACAGGTCCCTTGTCACTGCCCAGGTCACTGCCCCAGCTGTGTGCTCAGTAAACCTATGAGAGGGGAGGGGAGGGGAGAGGAAGAGAGGAGGAGAGGGAGGAAGAGAGCAAGGGAGTGGGCATGTTTCACCTTTACGATGCACACACATACAGGCTAAGTGACTGTGTGCCCTAGTGTGAGGCAGATTTCTCAGATCAACGTGGGAAGCAGACTGTATAAGAGACTGGCTGATGTGATGGGCCTCATGGGTACTAAACTTTCACCTTTAAACCATACAGGCATGAGCCAGGCATGGTAAGGCACACCTGAAATCCCACTACTTAGGAGGAGGAGAAGGCAGGAGCACCAGGAGTTCCAAGTCATCCTGAGCTAAACAGTGAATTCCAGGCTAGCCTAGGCTACATGAGACCTTGTCTCAAAAGAAGAAAGTTTAAAAAGAGGCATAACTACGAAAGAAACATTTTGCCAAGTAAGATGCCTGGGCAGGAGTGAAGTGGGTGAGAGTCTCGGAGGGAAATGCCAAGTACAGGAGCCCCACAGCCTGTTAGAGCCACTGGGGCCGAGAAGCCCAGTGTGGGGAGTACATTCCCTCACATTGTGTGTAGGACACTCTGCAGACTCGAGGCAGCTGGGCAGATAGGCCCATGAAACACACTCAACACAATGCCAGCTATCACCACAAACACCAAGAACGAAGAGTGGGACCCAGTCACACTACTGTGGAATGCAGATGGCCTGCCTCTCAGCGATAGTGGAGCCTGAAGATAAACATTTACCCATCACGTGACCCAAGAAGCCTACGTGGAGATTTCCTCTAGAGAAAAGAAAACTCATTATCATCACACAAAACACCAAACACAAACAACAGTGACAGCAGCTTTATTCATATCTGTAGTAAACAGGGGACAGTCCAAATACCCATCAGTCACTGGATGGATACACTGGTAAATCACTACAATGGAATATTATAGAGCCATAAAAGGAGATAAAAGGTATACAATAGCTGGTTGAATCTTAAGGTTAGAATATTGTAAACCACAAAGAATGGTTTAAATGGAGGGGAGGAAAGGGGCGTGGAGGGTGGCCGGTGGCTCTGTGGGTCCAGGGAGGCAGGCTCACTTGCTCCTTCAGCGTTAGAAGCTTCAACTGGTTCCTGGGGTTCCTTTGCTGTCCCTGGCTTTGACACTCCTTTCTGCAGTCAGGAGCTCTCGAAGAAGCCTCTTTTTTCCTTTTTTTGGCTTTTTGAGACAGGGTTTCTCTGTGTAGCTTTGTGACTTTCCTGGAACTCACTAGGTAGCCCAGGCTGGCCTCGAACTCACAGAGATCCGCCTGGCTCTGCCTCCCGAGTGCTGGGATTAAAGGCGTGCGCCACCACCGCCCGGCTCGAAGAAGCCTCTTACTAAAGCTCAGCCCCCTCCCCTCCCCTGGTGTCCATCCTACTAGGCTCAGGTTGGGCGCTGGGCTGTCTGAATGCTCCCAAAGTGTCCCTGTGCACTCGAGACACAGGTTCCCAGCCTATGTGGGCACACAGCATGTGGTGAAGTTTCGCTTGTGGGCCCACAGTGAAGTTTCACTTGCAGAGGGGCACAGTCCCTGCATCTGTGGGACTTTTCTCCTCCACAGCTCCCCTTCTCTGTTGAAAAGCCTGTGTTCTAGAAGAATCTGTCTCCCTCTAGTTTTCCTCATTGTCTCATTCTCTGCAGACCTACGCCATGTTGAGACACTCAGGATGGTCTTCCGCAGTGTTCAGGCACACCTCTCCACCAGGTGTATATATCCAGCAGGCTTTACAACCCTACCCGCCCACCTGGGCTAGAACTCCTGCTGCTCACTGCCTAGTGGAACAGCCTGGAGGAAGAGGCATGTGGTGTGTGCACAAAGCCAGATCTAGCATGGCCCAGGCTCCACTCAGAGGACCAAGTACCACAGCACCCTCAGGCCCTAGCCAACACCCTGTGGAGCTGTGACTCTCCTGTAAATAAACAGATTAACAAGGGCTTTCAGGACGCAACTTAAAATACCTATGAGGAAGGAAGGTTCTAGAGGCTTCCGGCTGAAAACATAACCTGTGTGGTATAAAAGCTGACACCACAGCACATAACATACACACTCACATACTCACAAACTCACAAGCTCCCACCTCCCAGCTCCCAGCCAACCCCGCCATGGCCGCCTCCACCATGTCTGTCTGCTCTGACGCCTGCACCAACTCCTCCTGGCAGGTGGACGACTGCCCAGAGAGCTGCTGTGAGCCTACCTGCTGTGCCCCCAGCTGCTGTGTGCCCAGCTGTTGTGCCCCCAGCTGCTGCCAGCCCAGCTGCTGTACCCCCAGCTGCTGCCAACCCAGCTGCTGTGCCCCATCCCCCTGCCTGAGCTTCATCTGCACCCCAGTGAGCTGTGTGTCCAGCCCCTGCTGCCAATCTTCCTGCACACCCTCATGCTGCCAACAGTCTAGCTGCCAGCCAGCTTGCTGTACCTGCTCCCCCTGCCAGCCGTCCTGCTGTGTGACTCTTTGCTGCAAGCCCATCTGCTGCACACCCATCTGCTCTGGATCCTCATGCTGCCAGCAGTCTAGCTGCCAGCCCTCAGGCTGTCAATCCTCCTGTTGCGTGCCTGTCTGCTGCAAGCCCATCTGCTGCACACCTATCTGCTCTGGATCCTCATGCTGCCAGCCATCCTGCTGTGTGCCTGTCTGCTGCAAGCCTGTCTGCTGCACACCCATCTGCTCTGGATCCTCCTCATGCTGCCAGCAGTCTAGCTGCCAGCCCTCATGCTGTCAATCTTCCTGCTGTGTGCCTGTCTGCTGCAAGCCTGTCTGCTGCAAGCCTGTCTGCTGCAAGCCCTGCTCCAGCGTGTCCCTGCTCTGCCGCCCTGTGTGCAGACCTGCCTGCTGTGTGCCCACCTCCTCCTGCTGTGCCTCCTCCTGCCAGCCCAGCTGCTGCAAGCCCTGCTCCAGCGTGTCCCTGCTCTGCCGCCCTGCCTGCTCCCGCCAGGCCTGCTGTGGCCTCTCCTCGGGCCAGAAGTCCAGCTGCTGATGGGCCTGTTCCTGGTGCCAGCTGACTCAGGTCCCTCCCTGTGGCCCCTCTCAGCCTCTCAGTCTGATTCTGATCTGGAATAGACGGTCCCCCAGGATGGATCCCCAACCTGTCCTTTGTGACTTGATTTCTTCTCCTCCTTCCCAGGAGGCCTGCTGATCCTCCGGGTCACTGTCCCTCCCCCTGTCCCTCTGCTCTGGGTACCTGCCCCTGACATCAGCTTGTCAGAGCCTGTGGCTTCAATAAACTTTTAACCACCTGGATTTCCTCTCATGTTTTGGTTCATGCTCTCTGCAGTTCAAGTAAATGTCCGTCTCTTCAGCCAGGAATGTTTCTAGGGGGGACAGTAGCCACCTCCCCTGGGGGTCACCAGTTGTTTGAATGAAAAATGTCCCAAATAGGTGCATTTATTCGAAGACTCGGTCTCCGGTGGACGGCTCTCTTTGAGGGGCTGCTTGAGGATGTTATTGCCGGAGGCTTTGGGAGTTGATAGCTTCATGCACTTTGGGTCCATACTCTCTGTTTTCTGCTTGTGGTTAGAGATGTGACCTCTGGCATTCTGTTCCTGTCACCTGCTGCCATTAATCTCCCACCTTTATGGTCTCTCTCTCTCTGGAACTCTAAGCCAACTCTTTCTTCCATAAGTCATGGTGCTTACTCACAGCAACAAAATACAAAATGGACAGGCTGAGCACTTGACAGCTCAAACCAGCATGAACCTGGTGTGTGTGTTGGGGCAGGGGCTTCCATCCCTATACCTCTCCATTCTCATTTCTCCATCCCTAGCTCCCTCTCAGCATACTGTGGCTCCTGATCCCCTGGACATCACTGGAAGGGTTTTGTTTTCTGTCACCTGTCAGTTCCCAAACTCCACACCATTTCCTGGAAGTCCCCAGGAAACAGACTCACTCTTTTCCCACTGAGTACCACAGGAGCAGAAAGAGCCCTCCCCTCTTTATAACAGGGGTGTGGAACTGGCATGCAGGTTCACTTGGGCAGAGCCTGGCTAAGGAAAATAGTAAGTGTGCACACATCTGCATGTACACACTCAACTATCACCAGGGCTAAGTTACCTTTCAGCTCTTTAGCCTGTGTTTGGCTAAGGACGGCTTGGTGAGATGTGTGGATATAAATAGCCCACAGTGGAAAGGACAAGCCTGCTTTTGAGATCACAGACTTACCACTCTGCTTTGCTGACTATAATAAAAACACACATAACATAGAACTTACTGTGCTCGCCTTTGTGAGCGCGTCTCGGCGGCACTGAGTTAGTTCATTCACATTCTGCCTAGCAAATCTCAGCTGTTCTATGAATTACTGGCTACTTGCTCTGCAACCCCCCTCCAAACCCCTAGCACCCATATTGTTGTGTCTTCATGAATCAGAGCCTTTGGGAAGCTAAGCAGACACTTTCCTTACGGCCTGGTTTCTTTTACTCAGTGTGAGGTCCTCCTGGCTCCTTCATGATGGAGCAGGTCAGGACCTATTTCTCTCTATAAGCCGAAAACATTCTCTTGAGCACTTGGACTAGGCTGCTTGTCCTGAACCAGCTGGGGGATTGGGGTGGGGAGGCATACTGAATTCCCACCCAGAAGTGCTACTGGGTAGGGTGCCATCAGCTCCATCCACTCCCTGGTTGGCCCCACCTTCCTCCTCTCAGTCCCACCCACTCTCCTGCTATGCCCACCCTCTCTCCCACCCCCTCGCAGGTCCTGCTCCCCTCTCCCCTTCACCCCCTTGGCCTTGTCCATCCTTCTTGGTCCCTCCCTCCTCCCTTTCCTTCAGCCCTGCCCCATCTCTGGCCCTGCTCTCCACAGAAGAATGAATACCTGTTCTCCCTGCTGGCGGAGGAGAAGGACACACTCCTGCTCGGCCTGAGGTACTCACCCACACAGCTGCACTTCCTATTTCTCACCGAGGACTTGGCTGGTGCCTGGCAGACCCGTGTGTCCTTCCGGAGCCCCGGCCTCGTGGACAGCCAATGGCACACGCTGATCTTGGCTGTGTCCCAAGGATCCTTTTCCCTCACCATGGACTGTGGCCTCCCAATAGACATGTAGGTACCAGGATGCGCATCCCAGTGATTGACCATGCTGTGTGCCATCTTAGCAACCCATTCCAGGGGCTGTTCTGCCACTGTGCAGTGGGGAGTGGGTCCTGGGAAAGTCTGCCCCTGCCTCTGCCCTGCCAAATCCTTTACTTGGGACAGGCTATGGAGAATGCCTTAGGTGCTGGCCCCTAAGGCAGGTCCCTGACAGGAGTTTGTGGAAGGCAGGATTCCATTATCAAGCCAGGAGTTATGGAGCAGCTACACTGCTCTATGAAATGGAGGGGTCCAATCAGGGGCTAGAAATCATTTATTGGAAAAACTGTGGCCAAGGAAGATCTGAGACCTTTGGGTTGAGAAAGCATGCCAACACCAAGGCTGCAGGCTGGGCTCAGGGGCCAGGATGCCTAGCACAGAGTGGAGGTGGCCTATGGATGGAGAGCTGGCTGCCTGGTACCCCTGGCCAGGAGCTGGGTGCACTGCAGCAGATGGTTAAGGCTGAGGAAGCAGGAGCTATAGGAGAGGCCAATATCATCTCATGCAGAGGCTCTGACCACATGTCCCTCCCTTGGCCTGCTGTCTTTCACGGCTTCCTCAGTGAGTTCAACCTTCATAGCAATCACAACCAGCACTTTCCAGAGACTCCTGGGTTTCCAGCAAGGTGCCTCCCTCCTATCTGTAGCCACCATTCTGTCCTGCTCCCCGGGCTGTGTGAAAGCACACAATGGCTATGTGGGTTAGGGTCCTGATGCAGGGAAAGGTCCTGGAGGTTCACTAGGAGGTAGGAAAAAGGCCCTGTATGTATCCTCACCATGCATTCCTGCAGGAGCTCTGTCCTGGGGTGCCCCAGCTCAGGTCCACTGGGGGCTATGAATGTGCTTTTACCTGCCAACTGGGTCTTAAACCAAGTCAAGATGACAGCTGAGTGAGACAGCTCCTGATGAGGACGCAGAGGGCACAGAGGCAGGGAAAGATTGTGAGCATGCTCAGATGCAATAGGAAAGGAGATGGAGGTAGAGAGATGCGGCCACAGCTGGGGAGCCTGGGACCACTACAGCCAGAGGGGTAAGGTGTCCTCCTTTGCCTCAGAGCGGGTTCTGCTCTGCAGGCCCTGGACCTCTAATTGCTATGGAACCTGTCACCATAGCTACCCCAGGATGCTGGCCTGTTTCCCATATGAGACCCATCCCCTATCTTTATAAGCAAATAGGGTGTATGCCCTTCCTCGTCTGTGATACTAGTACTGTCCACTCACGTTTCAGAATGGCTGACGTTCCCTTCCCACCCACCCTATCAGTAAGAGGAGCCCGGTTCTTCATTGGCAGCCGGAAGAGAACCAAAGGCCTATTCACAGTGAGTGTGGAGGGGCTGCCAGCAGCACCCCTTCCCCAGGGCTGTGGGGACAGCCTGTTACATGCTTTAGATGATAGATTGCCATCTATGCCAAGTGAAAACCAGAAACACAAAGGTGTTGAGGAGTCCACCACAGGTCCCTCACACTCTTCCCTGAGACTCTTGGATCCCTGCTCACAGGTTCTCCTAGCATGGAAGCCTGTCCCCAACACTCTCATAAACTGATGCTTAAACTCAGTCTTTCTGGTCCTGATGTATGTCTGCTCCATCCATCCATCCATCCATCCATCCATCCATCCACCCACCCATCCATGCATCCACATACTCATCCATCCACTCATCCACCCACACATTCATCCACATACCCACCCACCCATCATCCACTCCTCTATCCATTCACCCATCCACATCCACCCATCCTTCCATTCACCCACACATCTATCCACTCATTCATGCTCTTATCTATCCACCCATTCACTGATCCACTCACACATTCATCCTTTCATCTACCCACCCATCCACTGATCCACCCACTTATACATCTACTCACACACCCATCCACCTCTCCATCCATTCACCCACACATCCATCACCTGTGGTGTACTCACTGATAGGATGGTATCTGGAGTCTACTCCATAGCTAGGAGCTATAGTTCCCTGTGGTGTCCTCGGCATCTGCAACCATACCTGACACATAGTAATCACTCTGTGGAAATGCACTTGTGTTATGACTGGATGGGCAAATGGAAAAACAGATAGGTGGATAGATCCAGCGTGGATGGGTGGGTGATGATGGATAGATGGATGCATGCATGCATGCAAGGGTTGATGCCTGGGTGGCTAGATGTATGTTGGATGGGTGGGTAGATGGGTGGGTGGGTGAGTGAATGGATAGAGAGATGAATAGGTAGGTGGACTGATTGGTTATTAATGAATGGACATGGGTGGGCTGGCAGACAGATGGGTGGTAAGTGGGTAGGTGAATGGATGATAGAAGATAACAATGAATGGACATGGGTAGCTGGGCAGATGGATGAATGGTAGGAGGGTAGGTGGATGGACAATAGATAGAGGGAGAGAGAGAGATGAATGAATGAATCAATGGTGGGTGGATAGTGAAGGAAGGAATGGAAGAGTAGCTGGGTCAGATGGAAAAGCAATGTGGCCTGGTCACTCTAGTTCTGTGTAGACAGTCCCTTCTTCACTAAGAGCAATTGTCTGCTGTCACTCCTGGTGTCTTCCCAATAACCCATTCCCACACTGCAGGCTAGACCCATTGGGCCATATGGGCCCAGTTCTCCAGCAACTGGAGATATCAGTGGAACCTCACTTTCTCCCTCTGCAGGGCCTGATAAGGCAACTGGTTCTGCTGCCAGGCTCAGATGCCACCCCAAGGCTGTGTCCCAGCAGGAACGCCAGGCTGGCTGAGCTGTCCATCCCCCAGGTGCTGAAGAGGCTCACCGAGAAGCCTGATGATAATGAGGTGCTGAAATATCCCTATGGTTAGTAGGCGGGGCTTGCTTCCCACCCCAGCAACGTCTGAGAGCACTGGCTCCTTCCTCAGCCTTTCCAGTGTGTATCTCTCAGTCGCAGAAGGGCA